CCCCTAGAGCCTTCATTCTTAATGTCTACATTATGCTGCCTATGCCCTTTTATTTTTTTTAAACTCCTTTCTTTTGTACTAAATATTTTTCCTGATGGATTGATCTTCTAGTTCTTTTAAAACTGATCAGTGGATAATAAACTGAATCATTGAATGTCTGAATATGACTTCTGTGTGACTCAGTATTGAATTTTAGATTCAAAATTCTTTTCCCTCAATACTTTAAGGATATCAGTGTTATCTCTTTGCATTAGTTTTGCCCTTGAGGAATCTCTTATCAAACTAATTTTTAATTCCTTTTCTAGGTAGGCTAATCCAGTCTTTTTTTTCTCTCTCTCTCTCTTTGGAAGCTCGGTTTTCTGAATTTTTCCAACTAAAAATTTCTTGCTATACAAAGTATGTTCCTTGGACAGCAACATTCGTATCACCTAAAAGTTAGAAAAGCAGAATCTTGGGCCCCATCCCAGACTTTTGAAATAGAATCTGCATTTTAATGAGATTCTCATGTAATTCATTTTCATATTAAAGTTGGAAAAGAGCAATCTCAGATAGGTCTTTTTATTTAGTGAAATTTTTCAAACATGTACAAGAGTAGAGAGAATAATAACAAACACCAAATATCCTTAATTTAAACTTAATAGTCCCTAATCAATCCTAAAGTAAACTACACACATAATGGTATTTCACCCCTATATCCTACAGTATGCATTTCTAAAAGGTAACAGCATTTTTCTTATTAAATTAACAATTCCTTAATATCATTAGGCAAGTCCTTTTAAAATTTGTTCTATGCAGCCACTCTGGAAAACTGTATGGAGGTTCCTCAAAAAGTTGAAAATAGAGCTACCCTACGATCCAGCAATTGCACTACTGGGTATTTACCCCAAAGATACAAAAGTAGGGATCCGAAGGGGTACGTGCACCCCAGTGTTTATAGCAGCAATGTCCACAATAGCCAAACTGTGGAAAGAGCCAAGATGTCCATCGACAGATGACTGGATAAAGAAGATGTGGTATATATATACAATGGAATATTATGCAGCCATCAAAAGGAATGAGATCTTGCCATTTGCAACGACGTGGATGGAACTAGAGGGTATTATGTTGAGTGAAATAAGTCAAACAGAGAAAGACATGTATCATATGATCTCATTGATATGAGGAATTCTTAATCGCAGGAAACAAACTGAGTGTTGTTGGAGTGGGGGGTGGGGTGGGAGGGATGGGGTGACTGGGTGATAGACACTGGGGAGGGTACGTGCTCTGTTAAGCGCTGTGAATTGTGCAGGACTGTTGAGTCTCAGATCTGTACCTCTGAGACAAATAATGCAAGATATGTTAAGAAAAAAAAAGAAGAAGGTAGCGGGAGGTGAGGAATGAAGCGGGGGAAATCGGAGGGGTGGACGAACCATGAGAGAAGATGGACTCTGAAAAACAAACTGAGGGTTCTAGAGGGGAGGGGGGTGGGAGGATGGGTTGGCCTGGTGGTGGGTATTGAGGAGGGCACGTTCTGCATGGAGCACTGGGTGTTGTGCACGAACAATGAATCATGGAACACTTCATCTAGAACTAATGATGTAATGTATGGGGATTAACATAAGAATAAAAAAAAAAAAATTGTTCTATTCAATATTTGGTGTGATGTTTCAATCAGAGGATCGTGTATTTTTTTCAGGACTTGATTATATCTTTTACCTCTCTGAAGTTCTCTTCTATTATGTCCTTTTGTAACTCCCTCCTCCATACCTATTAAGTTTTCTTTATACTTTCTATGTGCTTACCTTTTTTGCAGTATACACTGAAAAATTTTCTCTGCACAGTTCTCTAGCTTATTAAATCACTCTTCAGCTGTGTTTATATCACCCATTTTTTTTAATTTGGGGAATTTATTGTTAATTTCTAGGAACTATCATTAAAGTTTTATGGATAGATGCAGTATACTTTCATGATTCAGAGGATATTTATAGTTATTCTGAAGTCATGTTTTGGTGGCTTTCTTCCTACTACATCTCTTTTCTCAGGTATACATTTTTTCCACTTAATGAACATGGTGCCTCAAAGTGATAGACTTCCCTAAATATTTTGTGATACTTTAATGGGGGCTCATTTTTGTATTTTAATCTTCCCATTAACTTGTGATTACTTTATCTATTGGCTTTTGTCTTCTTGCAGGGAATAGTCCAATCATGTAACCAAGCAAGGTATCTTAGAAGCTCAGGCTGAGATTAAGATTCTTATGCAAGTAATGTTTTGAGGGAGTTCTCAGTAGAAACCTCTGAATGAAGGAAGCTAGATAGACTATGGGGAAAATCAGTGGTTCCCAAACTTTGCTATACATTAAAATCACCTGGGGAGCTTTTAAAAAATCCCAACAATCAGAAGAGTAATGTCAGCAAGATGGCAGAATAGGAAGCCCCAGCTCTCCTTCTTGCACAACACTGACTTAAATACATAAGAACCAGATTACCTTTGTGAGAACTCCAGAAACCACTTGAGAGGTTATAGCATCCCATCCAAGTACAAGGCCAAGAAGAGACACATTGGAGCAGTTAGAATATTTCATTGCATTTACCCACCGTACCTCACCCCCTCCCTGCCCAGCAAGGGGCAACCAGGAGAACACTCCCAACTCCTGTCTTCTCCATCAGGAGGGAAAGAAAAAAGCTGGAGTATGTGTCCTACATTTTGGCTTTTTGACCCAAGGGACTGGTTTCTGTCTCACCTGACTCAGAATATTGGCAGAAAAAAAGAGTGGCACACTTTGGATACCTGAGAACAAAAGATCTCAAATAAATATTTGCACACCCATGTTTATTGGAACATTATTTGCAATAGCCAAGAAGTGGAAGCAGGCCACATTGACAGATGAATGGATGAAGAAAATGTGGTATATACATAGAATATTATTCACCTGTAAAAAAAAAAAGAAAGAAAGAAATCCTGTCACATTCTACAACATAGATGGACCTGGAGGACATTATACTGGGATAAATAAGCCAGAACAAATACTGTATGATTCCATTGATATATCTAAAGTAGTCAAAACCATAGTAATAGAAAGTAGAATGATGGTTGTCAGGGTCTCGGGTGAGGGAGAAAGGGGAGTTGTTTGATGGATATAGAGTTTTAGTTTTGTAAGACAAAAAAAGTTCTAGAGATCTGTTAATACAACAATCGGAATATAGTTAATACTACTGAACTGTGCACTTAAAAATGATTAAGAGGGTAAATTGTTTATTATGTATTCCTTGCCACAATTTAAAAAAATTGTTTAAAATCCTAGTACTCAGGTCAAATTCCATCTTAGATCAGTATGTCTTAGAATGGGAGACAAACATCAGTATTTTGAAATGTCCCCAAGTACAAGGTGTCAGCCTCTAAGATCACTCCCAGTGATCCCTGCTTTCTGATATTTATACCTTTGTGTAATACCCTCTTCTTGAATATGGGCTGGACTTACTGACTTGCTTCTAATGAACAAAATACAGTAGAAATGATAGAATGTCATGAGACATTCTATGTCATGAGAAGACCATGGCTTCTATCTTGTGTGTTCTCTCTTGCATTTTCTTTGATTACTTGTCTTGAGGGAATCCAGCTGCCATATTATGAGTGGCCCTGTTGAGAAACCTCCAGGGCAAAATATTGAAAGTCTGCCAACAGCCATGTGAGTAAAGCAGATCTTCTACCACCTTGTGAGAAACCTTGATTCAGAGGCACACAGCTAAGCCATACCCAGATTCCTGACCCACAAAAATTTTATGATAATAAGTGTTTGTTGTTTTAAGATGCTAAAATTGGGAGTAATTTGTTAAGCAGCTACCGATAAATAGTATACCAGGTGATTCCAATGTGCCATAAAGTTCAGAAACAATCGAACTAGGCAAATAAGTATTTTCAGGGAATTCTAGGCTCTTCTTGAGTCTACAGGGAAATCTTGAGAAAAAACTATATCAGAGAGATTGTACAGCCAGAGAGGCAAAGGTGCTAAACTATCAGACCCTCTCTATCAGTCAGTAATTCACAGGGGCTGTCTGGAAGAAGGAGGAGTAGGAAAACCTCCTTAGCTTCCCCAAGTAAGCCCTTCTCAGCAGGGTAAGACTGCTAGAAAGCTGCAGGTGTCAGGGGTTAGCAGCCAACAAGCAGCATCTGGGGGATGTGTGCGCTCGCCTGGTAAACGGGTTCTGGTGGGGCACCAAGATCATCTCTACACAAGGTATATACTTCAGCCTTTATAAAGTGAACGTGGAAGAGATGAGGTAAGGTACTGAATGGTATATACCAACAAAAGAGATTCTGAGCAGGAGTGTCCTCATTCCTCACGGGTGTCATCATCCACCCCAGGAATTTTCTCAGTTGCCTTTGTAACTTAGGTGCCCGCACTCATTGTTCCTTCTTTGGGGCAGACATCCGTTCCTTACTGACTTGTTCAAGAGTTAGAAATGGGGTGGAGAGTACATCTGTCTGGCCATTCTTACAGTGGTACTCCAAAGAGTCACCCATTGGATTTCCTCAGATTTCCCCTGCTCCCAGCATCTGCCATTTCTGGGCTTGGAGCATTTTTAGAAGTATACCATATCTTTTGTAGCAATGTTTACTCACACACACTTGGCTTATGATTTCCTTCTTCAATCTTAAACTCTTATCTTCCTGGGATATACTTGGTTTCTTATCCATTAAGGATTCTCCTTTTTTTTTTTTTTTCTAGTTAGGTTATGGGTTTTCGTATTATTTTTATATCTTCATCTCAAAGGATTTAGGAATGAAGGGAGAAGCAATTTGTGCCCAAACCAACATCTTGAATGAAATCTCTATAAACTTTCAGCCAGCAGAAAAAATGTGTGAAAAATTTTACCCATTAAATGATATTGACTCAGCATTTTTACTTTTGAAGTTATTGTAAATCTGAAAAGGTTAATGTATTTGTTGTAAAATTTAATATAAAACACTACTTTGTTAAAAGGATGTTTTAAAATTGGTTTTCAAAGTCTTTCTAATAGTTTTGTACTAGGTGCTGTCTCTCCTGCTGTGGTTGTCCCTTCCATGCTCCTTTTGCAAGAAAATGGATATGGCATTAATAAAGGCATCCCAACCTTACTGATAGCTGCTAGCAGTTTGGATGACATCATAGCAATCACTGGATTCAATACATGCTTGAGCATAGTCTTCTCCTCAGGTAAACAAAATACAACAACTGCCATCTCATTGCAGCTTTTTCCGGTTCTTTAAACAAGGTTTCTGGCTTTGCTTCTTTATTAACATTTATTTATTTTGACATGTAACATCTTTTTATTCTTCATAGAAAGCTCATTCTAGAGCAGGGAAGAAGTTTCAATGGATTGAGAAACCACTAACACACATGATTTTATTTTCATAACCATATATTGTAATTAATCTGATAACCCATATTATTATCATTTTTCTGTTTATGTTGGTTTGGAATTTTATCACAGTTTTCAATAGAAAATTTTAAGCAGCAATATTATTAAGTACTGCTATTTAATATATATTTCTAAAATGTGCCTTTTTGGCCATGATTATAAATAACTGGTTGTTCTGTTACTAAGACAACCTAAATATATGGAGTATGAACAACTGTGTGCCTTTTTGGTAGCGGTGGGACAAGATCTGCAGCAATTCTGAATCCCAAGGTAATATTTGGGCTTAAATGTCCAAGAAATTGTGAAAGTAAATCTTTCCACGTGTTGTAATGCTTTAATTATCTGCAATGTTTGAAATTCCATCTTCTGTATTATTGAAGCACCAAAATATTTAAGTTGAAAAGTAATATGTATAGTTTCTCTTAAAATCATAAGACATAAATAAGAAGGAAAAAAAGGAAAATATAAAAAGAAACTCTGCAACATACCCTCAGGAATAATAACTGACTCTTGATATAAATCCAGACTTTCTCTTTCTCCCTCTGTCTCTCTCCCCCATTCTCTCTGACTTCCCTCCCAATATTCTTATAAAATTATAAGAATCGGCCATACTTTCTTGTAACCTGAGTTGTTTTGTACTTAACTGTATATCACCAACATGTTTCTTTTCAGTAAATGTATTTCCATGACATTTTTAATGGTTGTATAGTTTTCTGTTGGCTGTATCATACTTATGTAACCTGTTGAAAACTGAAGTTGACTCCAATATTCACTATTAAAATAATGCTTGGTTGAACACCTTAGAGCCAAATAGTTGTACCTAATCTTAATATTTTCATAGTCTCAAAGTGAAATTGTTGAGATAAAAGTATAAAAGTTATAAGCTTTTTGAGATATATTACCACAATGTCATGTCTTACCAGGGTGTAAAAGCTTGCCACTTTCTCTTCACCTTCTTCAAAACTTGGTATTATTAGTCTTTTATATCTTTGTTAATTTGATAGGTGAAAGGTGAGGCCTCTTAAGATGAAGTACTTTGAATACTAGTGATATTTTAAAATGTTCATGTTTAATGACCATTGGCATCCTGTTTTATAAATTGCTTTTCTTGAAATCCTTTGCTTTTATCTTATATGTGTGTTCATCTTTTGTTCTTTTGTCAAGATTCTGCATAAAGTTAGGAATGATAACCTTTTGTTTTATGTCCATTTATAATTTTTCTTTTAACTTTATCTTTTTTTACAATTCAGATTTTTCAAATTTTTTATTGTCAAATCTGACAATCTTTTCCTTCATGACTAGTATCAGTAATTCTTTTAAAAAATATTTTTTGTGTTCCTCTTCCATTGTGCCAACAATTGTGCCAAACACTGAGGATAAACAGTGAACGACAATACTAGCTTTTATTGAGTAATTGCTTGGTACTTGCTCCAAGTTCCATAGCTATTTCCACTCATTTAATAGTCACACATCAGTACTATACTCATTTTACAGAATAGGAAACCAAGGAACAGAGATTAAGTAAGTTGCTCAAAGTCACAGATCCAAAAAGTAGGGAAGCCAAGATGCAATCTGGCAATCTGACCCCAGACCCACACTTTTAAGTGCTATTCTGTACTATTAACACAGCAGAGAAGACCATGAGGCTCATGTTCTCAAGGAATTTGTATTAAACAAATAATTACAAAATGTGATGAATAGTACATAGTATAAGGTACTATGGAACATGCTATAGGAGATCAAACCTAATTTGTGGAAGACAGAAAAAGTAAAAAAAAAAAAACAAAAGCAGCTACATGCTTAGAAAATCCTCTTGACTCATGACTATGTAAATGGTCACTTAAAATGTTAAGGACTTTTGGGGTGTCCGGGTGGCTTAGTCGGTTAAGTGTCTGCCTTCAGCTCAAGTCATGATCCCAGAGTCCTGGGATTGAGGCCCTCTCCCCGCCGCTCAGCCGGGAGTCTGCTTCTCCCTCTGCCCTTCCCCCTCTCCTGCTCTCTCTCTCTCTCTCTCAAATAAATAAAATATTTTTTTAAAAATGTTAAGGACTTTCAAGGTTTTATTTTTTACATTAGATCTTCAATACATCTACATTTTGGAATATGGTAGATACGGAGACCTAACCCTATCTTCTGGGTCAGTTGGCCTTTTTGTCATTATATAATATCCTTCTTTATCTCTTGTGACTTATTTGTATTTGACTTAAATTCTATTTTGTCTGATATAAGTATGACCACCCTGCTGTCTTTTGGTTATCATTTGCATGGAATATCTTTTTCTATCCCTATATTTATAAAAATGTAAAGTGATCATTTCAATCACATATAAAAATTCTAATCCTTTACATCTCGCCCTCTTCCCTTTGTTATCCATGTCACAAATTATATCTTTTTATGTTGTATATCTACTAATACAGTCTTTTTAAAAAGATTTTATTTATTTATTTGTCAGAGAGAGAGAGAGCACAAAGCAGGGGGAGCGGCAGGCAGAGGGAGAGGGAGAAGCAGACTCCCCGCTGAGCCGGGAGCCCAATGTGGGACTCGATCCCAGGATCCTGGGATCATGACCTGAGCCGAAGGCAGATGTTTATGACTGAGTCACCCAGGCGTCCCCATTAATACGTCTTATAGTTATTTTTATGTCTTTAACTTAAATTCTATAACAGAATTGAAAGTGATTTACTCACCACCATTACAGTATTACAGGATTCTGAATTCATCTATGTATTTACCTTCACCAAAGATTTATATTTTTGTGCTTTTGTGTTGCTAACATCCTTTTACTTCTACTTGAAGGATTCCCTTTAACACTTCTTGTAAGGCAGGTGCAGTAGTAATGAACTCCTTCAGCTTTTGTTTATCTGGGTAAATCTTAATTTTTCCTTCATTATGAAAGATAATCTTATAGAATAGTATTCTTCATTGGCAGTTTTTTGCCTTTCAACACTTTGAATATACCATCACACCCCCTTCTGGCCTGTAAGGTTTCTGCTCTGAAATCCTCTGATAATTTTATAGGAGCTTTCTTGTACATGATGAATCATTTTTCTCTTGCTGCAACTTCTTAATTGGTTTGTGGAGTCCCATTAAGGCTTTTGGACTGTATATTGTTGTTAAGTTAATGCCTCTTTGAGGGATCAAGGTTCTGGGGCTTCCCATTCTACCATCTTGCTGTTGTCATCCTGCATTTCTGTTATTTTTTCATGGAAAAACATTTCTAAAATATATATATATTTACACATCTCATTGAGCTAAAATACCCATAGCGTAACAACTTTTTTTTGTGACGTAGATCTTTTTTTAAAAATTTTTACTCTAAACTACAGATATGGGCACATAAAATATGTTGGAAACTCAATTGACTGCTGACTCAAATATTCCTAGTGTTGATCTTGGAGTAAATCTTTTTTTTTCTGTTGTTGTTAAATTTTTCTTTTTATGTTTAAGTCATTTCTTTCTTTGTATAACAGTATATCAGAGAAGAAACATCACCGACATGTGAGGTGCCAGAGGTGCTCCTTTGTCCAAACTCTGTCCATTCTTCCACCTCACCTGGTCTTTTAGGTTGTGTTTATAAGGGAACACACAGTGGCTTATTACTTCCTTGTTTTCTGGCTATATTTTCAATGAACTTTTCTGAATTGTGTGTATTTATTAAATTATTTGGGAGTACATACTTAATTTATCAAATAGATCATTATGTTTTCAAGTATATGAATATCAAAGGCCCATTTTTGCATATTTGTTCTAGAAGATATGTGCTTTTCTCTATGAACCACCTAGATTTGATCTTCTGATATGTTAGGTATGTGAAAATATTACTCTATGAGATGTTTCCCTTATTGTGTGCCCTTACAGGTGGTATACTTAATAATGTCCTTGCGTCTTTTCGGGACGTACTTATTGGCGCACTGGCAGGAGCTGTTTTGGGAATTTTTGTTCAATATTTTCCAAGTGGAGATCAGGTAAATAAAAAATTACTATTTTTTAGAAGTGTAGTATTAGACATTTCTTTCAAAAATTTGAACTTCTGGAAGATCCATGAACTATTAAATGTAATATTTAATTCTCTTTCCCCAAAATAGCCCCTAGTGCTACTCTCTGCTTAAAATGGAGCACAGTTGTGATTGATACAGGCCAATGGCCTTGACTGAAGTCTCTGCTTCCTGATTCGGCAAATAAGAGTATCAGAAAAGTGTACTTAACCCAGAGTACCTTCTCCATTCCACCCCAGCCCTTTATTCATTAAATTTCCTATTGACCACTGACAATTTTCCCTAATCTTTTTTCCCTCAAATTTTCCCTTGAAACATTTTTGGGGAAATAGATTGCCATTTATCTCTGAATATTTTCTGACTTCAATTTACTCCCACTGCCTTTGACTAAGGCAACACTATTAAACTCAACCCTTTCCTTCCCTAAAGGATATGCCATTATTCTTGAATTTCTGTGACTTGCATCTTAATTTCTCTGTAACAGCTGTCTCAGCTAAAGAGATAGTCAAAACTTTAACTTTTAAGAATTCATTGGATATGGGGTTCCTGGGTAGCTCAGTCATTGAGTGTCTGCCTTCGGCTTGGGTCATGATCCCAGGGTCCTGGGATCGAGCCCTACATTGGGCTCCCTGCTCAGCGGGAAGCCTGCTTCTCCCTCTCCCACTCCCCCTGCTTGTGTTCCTGCTCTCGCTATCTCTGTCTCTATCAAATAAATAAATAAAATCTTTAAAAAAAACCTCATTAGATATGTTATAGGAATTACAGTTTATATGGGTCTCTTTCCTTCCTTCTTCACTTATAGCTAAAGTACTATAGCCATTTTACTGACAATTAGTATCAGAGATGTGGCAGAAGATAAAACTTAATAATTGCAAAATTTTTCACTTGGTACCAAGTTTGCTAAAATTTTTGGTGAGGAAGTAAGTAAAAATTTTAGACACTATTTAATATAACATATAGAGACATGATACCAAAGGGTCAATAATAAGTGTTAGAAGATATAAATATTGTATTATATATTAAATGTAAATTAATTTCCAAATATCTATCTAATTCTAGACAAAACTGCCACTGAAGAGAGCTTTCCTTATTTTGAGTATGTGTGTTACTGCTGTCTTGGGAAGCCATCATATTGGTTTACATGCAGCTGGAGGATTATGCACATTAGCATTAACTTTTGTTGCAGGGATAAATTGGTCCACAGAAAAGGTGAATATTGTTAATACATAATTTTTGTAAGATAAAATAACTATTTTTTTTACATCTATAATAGACATTTAGGAAATCTCTTTGTTCTAGTTGGAAGATGTTCCAGAAATTTGTGTCTTCAAGGATGTATATAAATCAATCAAGGAAATAAAATATTTAGGAAAAGGACCTGGAAATACACTAAAATGCAATCAGAATTGAGCTAACACATCAGGCTGCTTTCTTTTTCCAAAGTTTTATGCAATATGATTATAGAACTTTTATTGATTTATTTTATTCATTAAAATTTGAGTTGTACAGTTAATCCATGAAAAATGCTCATAAAAGATTAGAACAATACAGAAGGCCCACATATAGAACAAAATGTAAAAGACTCCTTTTCCTCTACCACTCCCAATATCAGACCCCCCCTTCCCAGAACCAGTCATCTCCTTTAATCAGTTCTCCATTTGTAGACATTTAGGTTCTTTCCATTTTTGTTATTATAGTGCTGCTATGAGCAATCCTGTTCATGTGTCTTTTTACAAATGTACAAGTGCTTCTGTAAAATAGATTCCTAGAAATGTAATTGCTGAATTTAGAAATGGAATGTTTCTATTTTGAGGGATACTGCAAAATTATCCCTTCAAAGATTTTAAACAATCTGATAGGTAAGAAATGATACAACATTATTATTCTTTGTTTACATTTCTCTGATTAGTAGTGCAATAAATTTCTCTTCAAATATTCTTTTTTAACTACCTATTCATATTCTTTGCCCATTTTTTAATTGATTGATTTGCTTTTTTGTTCCCAATTTATAGTTTCTCAATATGTTAGTGCTACTAATCCTTTGTTATGTATATATTGCATATAATTTTTGTTTATTTTCAACTTTGTTTATGATGTCTTTTATATTGCAGTAAAACTACCTATAGTCAAAGCTGACCATTATTCTTTTTTTGTTTTGGATTCTGTATGTTGTTTAAGAAGGATATCTTCACCCAAGATTATAAGATTGTAATCATGTCTTCTATAGTATCATCTAATACTTTGGTAGTTTCTGTTTGTTTTATTTTTGCATTTAGTTCTTTAATTCATCTGGAATTTATTTTTGTAAATGCTGTGAGATAAGGATATGTGTGTGTGTTCATAAACATGTATATATAAGTTCATTGCTGGAATCTATTTAATCCTACCTATTTAGTCCTGGGCCAATACCACTCTATTTTAAATTACTGTAGTTTTATGTCTCAAAACCTAATGTGGAAGATTCCCTCTCATTGTACTTATTTTTAAAGTATTTCTTGACTATCCCTGCACAAATTCTTTCTTAGATAAATTTTAAAATCAGCTTGAGAATTTCCCAATCCAAAAATTATGTTAGTGTTTTGTTTAGTATTCCAATAAAATCATAATTGTAAAAGAAATTAAATGGTCAATAATAAATTATAATTAAATAAAATGAAAACTACTAAAATTCTTTTTTATATATGATAAAAGAAATCAAACAGTAAAGAATATATTTTAAAAATTAAAAGTAACAGGGGCACCTGGGTGTCTCAGTCGGTTAAGTGTCTGCCTTCAGCTCAGGTCATGATCTCAGGGTCCTGGGATGGAGCCTGGGTCAGGCTCCCTGCTCAGCAGGGAGGGGGGGTCTCTTCTCTCTCTCCCTCTGTACCCACCACTGCCCCTACCAGCTCATGCTCTCTCTCTCTCTCAAATGAATAAATAAAATCTTTATTAAAAAAATTTAAAGTAACAAATAGGATGTGTCACCATGAAGAAAGAGTAATATTGTTTTTTCTTTGTTTTTTCCTTTTTTAAACCTTACTTTTATAAATCAGAAAACCCAGTCATAAGGGAAATAGTTACAAACATAGTTTATACCCCAAAGGATATCACAGTTTTATGTGACTTCTTTAAAAAAAGATAAGCCCAGACTGAAACTAAAATCTCTTCATCCAAATTCCTTGAGAAGAGCCAGAGTACTGTTATATCAATAGGGGACTTTGTTGTAACCACTTAATTGGGGAAGTAGCCCTGGGAGAGGTCCTTTCTCAAAAAGGAAAGCCAGGCAAGCAACCAAGTTAGAAATCTATATATGTTTTTGGTTTGGTTTCAAGGAAAAAATAACACTGAAGTTTTCAACATGGGCCCTTTGGAAGCAGGCCTGACAGATTACTGACAATTTTTGCCTGTAGCTTAGGACATATCTAGATTCACTTTCATGGGATTGGATTCCAAGATAATTGTCAGTGGAGGTCTTCTCAACTCCCTTTTAAGAGCTGAAATGGTGGCATAATATTGAGTATGTGCTCATGAGGCATGATGTAGTTCTAGTTCTGTCTCTGTTCAATTACCTTATTTAAAAAAGCTAGAATTCTTACTGAACCATTAAAACATGTCTGAAACTACAAAGACCTTATTTGTTCCATGACAAAATTATGAAATAATATTGTTATTGAGGGGCACCTGAGTGGCTCAGTCGTTAAGTGTTTGCCTTCGGCTCAGGTCATGATCCCAGGGTCCTGGAATCAAGCCCCACACTGGGCTCCCTGCTCAGTGGAAAGCCTGCTTCTCCCTCTCCCACTCCCCCTGCTTGCGTTCCTTCTCTTGCTGTGTCTCTCTCTGTCAAATAAATAAAATCTTTAAAAATAATAATATTTTTATTGAATACCTTTGTAGAATTTTTTTTCTGGTTTCAAGGAGCATTTATTTCTATTTTACTTTTTTTTTTAAAGTTTTTAATTTAATTCCAGTTAGTTAACATGCAATTGTTATATTTGTTTCAGGTGTACAATAAAGTGTTCCAACACTTCCATACACTATCCAGTTATCATCACAGCAAGTGCACTCCCTAATCCCCTTCACTTATTTCACCCTTCCCCCCACCTACTTCCCCTCTTGTAACCATCAGTTTGTTCTCCATAATTAAGAACCTATTTCTTGGTTTCTCTCTCTCTGTTTTTTCCTCTTTGCTCATTTGTTTCTTAAATTCCACATATGAGTGAAATCGTATGGTATTTGTCCTTCTTTGATTTATTTCACTTAGCATTATACTCTCTGACCCTATCTATGTTGTTGCAAATCACAAGATTTCATTCTTTTTATGGTTGAATAATATTCCATTGTGTGCATATGTGTGTGTGTGTGTGTGTGTGTGTGTATACACATACATGTTCTTCATCCATTCATCAATCAATGGACACTTGGGCTGCTTCCATGTTTTGGCTATTGTAAATAATTCTGCTATAAGATTTGATGATTTTTTTAACCAAATTCTACTTAAGTGTTTGAGTAAAAGAACCTACTCAATTTTTTTTTTCTGTTCTATCAGAACCTACTCAATTTTTAAGCTTTAACATTTCTTCTACAAATAAAATATCTTAAGTTCATTAAAGGTTGAGAGACTTTAATTTTTAAAGTGCAATTATTTTTAAGTGTCACAACAACTAAACACAATAACTAAAAATATATTATTCTTTTCTACAGGTTAAAGTCCAAAGAATTATTAAAACTACATGGTATATTTTTCAACCCCTTCTTTTTGGCTTGGTTGGATCAGAAGTATCTGTTGCATCTCTTCAATCAAATGCTATTGGTAAAGGGCGCCTGGGTTGCTCAGTCGTTAAGCGGCTGCCCTCGGCTCAGGTCATGATCCCAGGGTCCTGGGATCGAG